GTTTTTTAGTCGGTAAGGTACCTCAACCACCCCGACAGTACCATTTACGGTCTCTGGTTTGCAGATTTTTCCCCCACGAACAAAAAAATAGTTAAAATATGTTTTAAACGTGTATCTTTTTATTAAAGTACATTTAACTTTTGTTAAATTAACACATCCACCCTAGATTGTTTTCAAATAATAAATATCTACTGACGCAAAATCATAATGACGGGTAATTCTCCATTGAACACCGGAATAATATACGAGGTGTTCCATTTAAAATAATTTTAAAAGTATCTTGCCTTTAAATGTGACCAATGCTAATTATTAGTTTTGTCTCACCCTGTATAACTTTTCGTGTCAAATTTTAATTTAGTTTAACATACAATGGTTAGGCTATATAGGGTAAATTACAATTTAGATAGTTGTTATTAAAATTTAAATTATAATCTTCATTTCCGCAAAATGTGAAATATGTCAAAATTCTTACATGTTAGGCCTATGCTTCTTAAACAAAACTCACCTTTATTTTTCCATAGAATCAAAAATCATTTAATATATAGGGTGTTCCATTACAAAAAAACAAAACTTTGTTGTGTAACTTTTTTTTGGGACACCTTGTATAACTATCTATATTTTTTATAAAATGCTTTCAATTAACCTGACCAATTACCAAACCAAACCAAAACCAAAATTTTATTTCGATTTAAACTACCGTTCTCCCTGGAGCCTCCGCCTCGTATGAAAGGCGCCACACTGTACAGGGTGTCCGGAAATTAATGCAACAAAATTTGGTCGTAGATTCTTGTAAAAAAATAGGTGACTCATATTTTTTATTTTTGGCGAGTGGCCCCCCTTTTCGGATTTACAGCCTCCTGAATTTCGCCCCTAAAAAGAGTTTTTTTTTAATATCTCAGGGCCCTGTTGGACGAAAATCGCTAAATTTGGTACACGTTGTTTACCGTAAAATGACATTTTTTGATGCTACATGACTAAATCGGTAAAATTTTACCGTAAATTTCAATGGCAAAATTTTTAAAACGGCAAACAATTTAAAATAATTTTTATTTTCCAAAATCTTTGTTTTTATTACCTAATTGCGAACCAAAATGTCCAAAAACCTAAATTGCCGTTTTTAAATTTTGCTTTGAAAATTTACATAAAAATTTTTAGCGATTTGGTCATGTATGAAAATGGTTTTATTTTTTTTATGCGAAAACGGTGCGTCGTACGAAAAAAAAATCAAGAGATAAAGTTGTTCAAAATTTAATGTAGATTTTAAAAAATAATTTTTATTTAAAGAAACCAGTGGCGTACCATTTTTTTCTTCAATAATATTTAGTTTAAATACCGTAGGGACGCCACTGATAAAAATAAAAAAAGTTAATAGCATCAAAAAACGTAATTTTATGGTAAAACAACGTGCACCAAATTTAGTGATTTTCGTCCAACAGGGCCCTGAGATATTAAAAAAAAACTCTTTTTAGGAGCGAAATTCAAGGGGCTGTAAATCCGAAAAGGGGGGCCACTGGTCAAAAATAAAAAATACGGGTCACATATTTTTTTTCAAAAATCTATGACAAAATTTTGTTGCATTAATTTCCGGACACCCTGTATAATATGTTTTTTTCTATTTTTTTTGACTAATTTCACTTAGATGGCATGGTATTCTTATTCTATTATGATCTATAACTTAACTTATAAAAAGACAGACTATTTTATTACACGGTTATTTTATCAAATGTTCAGAAATGTCTCTCTTGACTCATAAGTTCTCTTGTAAACTTGTCAGGTGATCGAGGAGGCCCATGCCAATTGGTGTACCTCTTTCTATCGCTGAGTTAGTTTAGTTTATGAGGAGGAGCGTCATAATATCCAAAAAAAATCGCCAAATATATTTGCTTAGTGAACACGACACCCAGTATACATAACTGGACATGACAATTTTTGATGTAATTATTATTAAGCCCCACGGATTTTTTTTACGATATTAATTTAGTTTGACGCGAAAGATTTCGTCTTTGGAGTGATTTAATTAACAGTATTCGGCCATGGAAAGCATTAACGAAAGGTCCATTTAATAGGATTAAGGAAATACTCGACTTGCACGGTATATCCGTATAAATGTTCAGTGGACTCGAATTTTGGGACACCACAACATGCCTTTTTAAGAAAATCACTAGCGTAGATAACTTATGTTTCATAAAATCGGTAGCCATTTTTAATTTTTATATAAAACAGCAAATTCATAACTTTAATGATATTACTGGATCCGGCAAAGAATGTATTGACATGAATCGAAAAACAAAATGCTCAAGAGTTCTGACCGTAAAATTATATTTTAGGAAAATTTACAAACAAAATTATTGCACAGGGTGTTTTAAAGTTAGGGTAAAAAGGCAACCCCTCGATTAACCCTGTATAATATGCCAAATACTAAAGTTTATAAATAACTGAGTTTAGGAATTAAAGTTGATATAATTATATACACCTTACTAAAAAATTCATGAAAATAGGGCTAAAAATAACAAAAATATAAGACTTTAAATTTGACCAAAAATTTCCCCGTTGCATTTTTTTGCATCTGAATGTATTTTACCTAATTTATTATTAATATTAGTTATTATTACTATTAGTCCAACCTACAGCAATTTCAACTAAAAATTAATGGTATGTAAGATAATAATCACAAAAAAAACTAATTTTAAAAATTTGTAACCTCCTGTAACTATAAAACTATGCATTTCCATACCCATGTTTATAAGAACTTTTTTTCATATTTTTTGATGGGGAATCATTGAGTATTTATTTAAAGCTTTCGCCAGTTAATGATATTAACATTTCTTAAAGGTTGCTATTAGACTTGAATCAAGGTAAATTAATAAAATTGCGTTTATCTCATCAAGGAGACCGAAATCGACAAAATATCAAGAGACAACTTTTAATCGGCATTAAACTGCTTATACTATTTCGCTAAAAAGAGAAAAGAAAGTCAGTGGCGCACATGCTTTTTTAAAAAATAATCCAGTGATAACCCATATGCACGTCTCTGGTGAATATGTCGACACTTTTTTAACTTTAAAATATGTCGCATTTATAGTAACTTTTCAAAATTTCATTGGAATCGCTAAAAGCATTTAGAAGAAAATTAGAAAAAATCGAAAAAATATTAAGACTTTAACACCCTGTAGCTACGAAATAAAGCAGAATCGGACCTATTTTGAAACGAAAAATATGTCTTATTTTTACGTGGGGAGTCTCCCCACGAGAGATGGCACATATTTTTTGAAACGCCCTGTATATAGCCCGCTATTTTCTATAAAATCGCATTAATTTTATCCTCGTTCGAAAACAGTGCAACTACGCCACTGATCGAGAGCAATAAACGTCTTGCGCAATTACCGAAAAAAAAAGATCCTTCGCTCTTACTGTACTTATTCACTGGCCGGGGTTCCGAAAATTTATCTTTATTAAATCCGAGGATTAGCACCGGGCCGATTTTTATCGATTGCGTAATGTGACAGTAGTTGAAAGCGATACGGGCTTTGTCGATACGTCAATCGATAAGATTATTTGGAATTAGGATCGATACATAACGTCAGTTTGACGTTTCCGGTACCTATTAAATATGCCGAAAATATAAAGAGCCTGACCATCGATATGGTAAGATTTATGGTGATATTATGGCGAGATTAACTGTTGGAACCTTTAGCGAAGATTATAAAATAGTGTAGGAAACCCCTTGTTTAATACATATTCAAGGGAAAATTATCCATACACAGGCTTTATTCCCTTTAAAGGGCCGTTTAGACGTAGAGTTAATTTGCGCAAACTGGTTTGTACAAACCATACTTCACCAATAAAGGTTGATTCTAACTATACCTTCCATTTCCATTCCATATTCGTTTCGTATTTTTATTGTATTGACGTTATACGTAGGGAATGCAATCCCGCAAATGCGGGATCCCGCTGAGATTCCGCGGGATCAAAGTTGCGGGATTTACCGTGCGGGATCTGCGGGATTGACACATTACTACTGGGTAACCGAATAAATTACATGTCAGGACAAAAAACATTTTTAGATAAAGAATCTAGTGGGCTGCTGTAATTTTTATAGGAAAAAATCTAGTTGGCCGCTGTCACTTTTTAGGATGTTTCTAATATTATTTTATTTTACCATTACTCTACTGCAATACGTTATTATTTAGATTATTATTATTATCGTTATTATCACTAGATTCTTAATCTAAAAATGTTTTTTGTCCTGACATGTAATGCTTTACATTTTATTTTTTAATTTCAAATCGGTGAGTTTTATCAAAAAAACACAAGAGATAAAAAAGTTTCTAAACAAACTAAGCTATCCAAATTGATTTTTTTGCATGTGTTTGATAAGATTTTTCTTTAAATTTCGTTAACAAGAATGATAGGGGTAGTTTATTTCAACCCCTTCCACTCATTTTAAAAAAGTGAAAAAATTACCAGAAAGTATGTTTTCATAATAGTAATGCTTCCATAAAATTTCATTAGTCTATCTCTTTTCGTTTTCAAGATAAAAAATTAAAACATTATTTTTCCGCCATCTTTGTACCGCGATATCTCCCTAATGGTTGACTTTTGACCCAACGTTTATGAAGCAAACTACCCTTTATTTTGAGCAAGGAATCACCCACTGAAATTTTTCGCATTTGTTTTGAAACACCCTGTATATCCAAGGTATCGGAGACATAACGTTGACTTCGGCCATCTCCAATTAAAGCCACAATACGAGCAACATCCGTTACAGATAATGGCATTTTTTAATTTGAACGACATTCAAAAAATGACAAAAAAAATTTTTAATTACTATAGTTTCTCGTATTATCGTATTACAGAGCTCTCTTGGTCCGGCCCAATAATTTGACATTTCTATATAAAAATACCCTATATTGACATGGCCTTTTAAAAATTGCTATTCCTCTGCTGCTTTCAATTTTATCTGATCTGATAATTCAACAAATGATTTTTTATTGTTTCAGAAGAATGGATGTCTGTACGAACACATACGATGGGGTGAAGCTTTCATTATCGTTTATTCGGTGGTGGACAAGCACAGCTTTCACGAGGCACAAGAGATTCTCAATCAGCTAGTCAAGTTAAAACTGCCTTCTTACTATACGTCTTTACTGTTAGGGAACAAAAGAGATTTGGATCATTCAAGGTAAGAATTACATGTCTTTTCTTTGTTGATTGATTTATGAAAAAAATCTTGGAATTACATTCTTTACAATTTTACCGCGCGGCGCGAAACAGTTCAGCGTTTCGTTCAGATGTATCACTAACAGTTATTAAATTTTCCTAAAACTATTGAGCTTCAACCAAGCACAAATCAGGATTTACTGACGTGATTCAATCGTTTTCGGTCACTTCCTGTTTCGCCGGAAATGACTAAAACCATTAATTTTTAAATAACGCCCTTTGTATTTTTGCTTTATTCGATAAAAAATGACACTCTGAGTAGAATGACATATCATATGTCAACTTTTGACATTTTTGCATATTATGGTTTATTTGAAACTGTAACATGAGGTTCATAACGACAATTTGACTCGAAATACCAAGTGTATGGTACCAAATTATTCATAAAAAAATGCTAATGCGCCATACTCGTTTCGTTTAAAAATTGGGATGTGATTAAAAATACAATTTGAGCATCTTTTAACCGGCCAGGATAAGACACGAAATACACATTAGACGATCAAATCTATTTTTTAAGGCGTCTTGATTAAATTTAGTGTTTTTAACACAGCCATGACACTCTAGATTGAAATATAAAATACGATTTGTTTTTAAGCGAAAATGTAAAAAGTTTACATGTTATATGTCATTCTATCCAGAGTGTCATTTTCTATTGAATACAGTAAAAACCGAATGTGCCATTTAAAAATCAAAAGTTTTAGTAATTTCCGGTGAAACAGCAATTGACAGAAACCAATACGTCAATCAATCCTAATTTATGTCATATACGACATCAGGAAAAAAATACTTTTTATTTTTTTTAATTAAATGAAAAACAAATAATCCGGCGACGACAGTTTTTAGAAGAGCCAATTAGCTATCTTTTAGTAAAAAAAGCAACTTCCTAGACCAAGTCGTTACTTCAGTAGAGACGACACATATAAACATTAGCATTTTATATATGTAGATACTAACACACCAAATCTCGTATTTTTATCTGGAAAAATACAAAAGTTACAGGAGTGAGAACAACTTTTGAGAAACACCCCTTTCTAAAATACTAACTAGAGCAAAGCATTCAAGCGTGACGGAGGTGGTGCAGTAAGCGTAAGTTTGTCCATTGAGGACACCAGCATTGGTACGTTTTGCTAACGATACAAAATTTTCATATTGAATTGCTAAAGATGATATTATTGATTGATATAAAAAGGGCTTCTCTTTAAATTTGTACTTTTTCAAATGAGATTTCTTGTGGAGAAATCCAGTGGTAATTAAAATTCAAGCAAAAAACCTATGCTTTATTTTCAAAGTAAAATAACTCAGCTATTTTGGACTTGTTTGAAAAACGGCAAATAGAAAATATATTCCTTTAATCGAGATCTACCGGCCCTGAGAATAGTGAAGAGAAGACCACGCAAGAGTAAAAGCAAGACCAAGACCAAGACTCCCTTGGTCTTGGTCTTGCAGTTAATAAGTAGTCTTGGTTTTGCATGGTGCAGTCTTGGTCTTGGTCTTGTTGGAAGACTCTTGCAAGTCTTGCATTTCTTTAATATATATTTACCAGAGACACTTTCTACATAGAAAATGTTTAAATAAATAGTATTTTTAGTAATTTAATGCAAAAAAAACATAGAAAGAAATAAATTATTAGAATAATTTGTCTGACGAAAATTTTTGTTTTTCAATACGAGTATAATATATATGAATATTATATTGAATCAGTATTTCATTCTTTAAAATTTTATGCAATAGTTGTAAAAACACTATTTGTAATAAATTAAACCAATTTTGAACAAATAAGTAATTTCTTATATCATATAAAGGTGAAAAAATATACGTCGGCGTGCTTGGTCTTGGCCTTGGTTTTGTAGATCAAGCGCTGGTTTTGGTCTTGGTCTTGGTTTGCTTTTTCTGCAGAACGAAGACCAAAACCGCAAGATCAAGGCAAGCTTCGCCCATCACTACCTGAAAATATTTGCACTTATTTAAAACTCAGGCTGTTTAAATATTTTGATTTTTTCATTAGTGGCATTCTCAGAACTTATAATTACATAACATGATATCTGTTTTTTCCCATTATCAATCAAAACACCCTGTATAATGCCAAATTAAATATTGTAATTACAATTTTAAACCGATAAACTTAAATAAAAATGCTAAAATCGTAAAGTTAAAACTGAAAGGTCTAAATTAAGAATCAACGGCATGTGTAACGATCATTTTATACAACAAGCGAATGCTTATTAATTTTCGCATACTAACGCTTTCCACCGAAGAAAAAAACATAGGAGATTCGAAAAGGCGCACGGACAACGAACCCCGGTCCAAAAATAACACGCAGCCAAAATATGAATGTTAAATCCTTCGTTGCCGCAAAGGGAACCATAAAAAATCTTAAACCAGTTGCAGTTACAAGATATCAAAGCAGGATAATTTGAGGCCCTTGGTTAGTCCGAATCGGTGAGTTCGTTAAATATACGAAAAAAAAAGGATACAATTGAGATTGGAATCTTTTTCGTTACACCAGCAAAATAACACTAATAATTCACCAATGCACCAAAATATAGATCATACGAAATAAACTTTTAGTCACGTCATTAAGCTTGACCGGAACAGTGTTGCCCACTTTTACATATTTTCTTTTAATCAAAATATTTTTGGAATCAAAAATAAATTAATTATAAATATACAGGGTTGTTCACCACATACGACACGGAGTATTGTAGCTAAACAATTAAATTTTTACAGATTGTAAGTTTTAGGTTCATTGAAAGAGTATTAGAGCTACAATTTAAAAATATTTTTAGAAGATACAGAGTATCCCAAATAAATAAAAAAATAAAGTTGTATTTTTTTAAATGGAACACCCTGTATATTATTACATATTTAGTTTCTACGATTAAAATAAAGATAAATTTGAAAAAAAAAAGGTTTTCGAAATATTTTCAATTTTGTGAAATTGCAGTAAAAATTTTAGAGTTTTATTTCTCCAAAGGTTTCAAAGTTTTTAATACTAAATATTTACTGAAGTTTATTCATTGATCAGTTATTGTGTTGCAATAATAAAAAATAATACTACCTTATACAGAGTGTCGAAAAAATTATTTTAAATATTTCCTAGCTATAAAAGGCAATAACTTGTTTAATTTAAATGGGACACCATATATATTTTAAGAGAATCAGATACACAATTTAAATGTCTATCAAAATGTATAATACCATTTTTACCTATCCCTTCAAGTTTTGGTAGAAAATATTTTTTTTTATAATTTAGACCTCATTTATCAATATATCCATGGAATATTGATATTTTAGATTGTTTTAAAGCAACAAACGTACAAAATGTACAGGTGCTAAAAACGATAATATTACTAACCCATTTGTATACAAAAAGAAAACCATTAATTAAATATACCACCATTATTTCCGCCCAAAAATTAATAAATTACATACTTAATTGTGTTAGTTAATAAATTATTCTAAATAAATGTGGATTTGAATCAGAAATCAATCTAATAATAAGGTATGAAAATGAACGTCTCTGTTGTGATAAATATGCATTCGTCAAAAATTGAAATTAAATTTATAAGGTGTTATTTTATCACTTTTTTGTCTAATACACATACAAAATTAAGTTTTTTAGAATTTTGAGCAATTATTATTAATCAACGCAGTCAATTAATGTAGTTTGAATACTGGAATTATATTAATAAGTCCTCTTTTACAAATATTGAAACAGTTTCATTTTTTATTTTTTAATGAAATAAGCGAACTATATCGACAATTTTAATATCTGTACTCTTTGAAAATTTCTTGGATCTTTAAAAGTAATCTAAAATGTCAATATTCCATGGGTATATTGATAAATGAGGTCTAAATAATAAGAAAATGCATTTTCTACGAAAACTTGAAGAGATATGTAAAAAATGGTATAATACAATTTGATAAACAATTAAATTGTGCATCTGATTCTCATAAAATATGCAAGGTGTTCCATTTAAATTAAACAAGTTATTGCCGTTTAAAGCTAGTAAATAATTAAAATAAATTTTTAGACACTCTGTATAAGGTAGAATAATTTTTATTATTGCAACATAAAATTTAGTAAATAGAAATACTTCAGTACAATATTTGATTTTAAAACGCTATATTTATACGCCTAGAGAAATGAAGCATTAAAATTATTACTGTATTTTGGCAAAAACCTAAATATTTCAAAAGCGGAAAGATTAAAATGCGGCAAATCTTAATCAAATATACCTTTATTTTAATTGTAGAAACTAAAAATGTAATAACATACAGGGTGTTCCATTTAAAAAAATACAACTTTGATATTTTTTATTTATTTGGGACACTCTGTATCTTGTAAAAATATATTTAAATTGTAGCTCTAATAGTCCTTCAATGAACCCAAAACTTACAATTTGAAAAAATCTAATCGTTTAGCTACAATACTCCGTGTCGTATGTGGTGAACAACCCTGTATAAACAGTTATTATTTACATCAACAAAACTCACGTCCTTAGCAGCACTTAAGGGACGTAAAGAGTCATTATTACCGCTTTACCTTTCAAAATATTCTAATAAGGTTGCGATGAGTTTTTTGCAACGGCTGTTAAGCTGCTTCCCCATCTTGTACATTTCGCACTACATACGGTTCTAAAAAAATATTTTTTAAGACTGCAAAGTCTGTTAGTATAAAAATAAACTTAAAGTATCACAAAACGAATAAAAATGTTAAGAAATGTAAATAAATGTGGCAACGTGACATTTTTTGAAGAAGAGCTACCACCAGAATCGCTAGTGGGAAATTTAAGTTCCAGTTAGTCAGCCCGGAAATTCCATTTATTTATTAACAATAGTCACTAACACCTTTGCTAACACTTTCAGTAGCAATATTTAAATTTAAGGCAGCAGCTACTAGCTTTTTTTTTTTGGAAGTGTAAAATACCTGTACGTACGGAGTGTGGGACTCAATCTCTC